TTTTTTTAGGCATTGCTCAGCCCTTCTTCTTCCTGTGTTTTCCTTCCACAACATGCCATTCACCACCATTCTCTGGAACTACATCCAGCTTTTTTGTGTTGTTCCTTGCTGGTTGTTTGGGCTGAGGCTGAGAACTTGAGCTGGAGCCACTGTCCCTTCACTTCTCGCACGCCGCGCTCAACAGAGCCGACTGAGTCGTGATTCTGGGGGCCAGCACGAGTGACAGTGTACTCTCTTGGTATTCCACTGCGTTGGATCAAAGCTGTCACATCTGGTGCTGCATCAGTCCTGAAGTCGATTGGCGGTCCTTCACCACCAACGAAGGAGAACTCGGCCAAGATCTGCCTGATGTGGCTGCCGGTCACACGAATGTCCTCGCTCACAGCAGTGACGCCAAGAAGGCCTGTCATCACTTGGCGGAACAAAACAAGTTGGGCTTTTTTTTGCCTTTACCCTTTCCCTTGGGTGTGGCATCTTGTGGGCTGGCATGGACTTTGGGTTTGGCCTGTGCCACAGTTGGAGCTGGGTTGCTGGGCTGGGCTGCATGGCTGGGGTTATGATGCTCCATTCCTGGTGGGTAGTACCATTGCCTGGCATCATAGGCCATTTGTTGGCTGCCCCAATAGTTCTGCCATTCCATCCAGTGCAGCCATTGCTGTCTATTGGCTTCTTCTGCTTCTTCTTTTTGTTTCTTTTCCTTTTGCTCTTCTTCTAAAGCCTTCTGCATTTGGGCATCCCAGTTTTTGGCCAACCTTTCATACCTGCTTCTTCCCATTGCAGAGAGCCTTTGCACATCATATTGCTCAGAGCCCTTTTCAGCAGGTCCCTCTAGAGCTTGTATTCTTGCAAATCTCCTCCTTTCTTTTTCACTGCCATTCTTGTTTTTGGGTTGGTGTTGCTGCCAGGTGCCCCATTCTCTTTCTTGGTACCCTCCATCTTGCCATTTTTCATTTTTCCACCAGTCCCAGCTTGACTGGCCTCTTTGCTCCCATTGTTTCCAATCCCAGCTAGACTGGTCTTTTTGCTCACTTTGTTCATCCTCAGTGTCATCTGCCCAACTTGTCCACTTGTGTTGGGAATGGGAGTGGGAGGACCTGCTCCTGGAGGAGTCCCTGCTCCAGTCAGCATCCATGGCGCAAAAAGAGCCCTTTTCCAAGGCCCCCCAAACCCAGAGCCCTTTTTCAAGGCCCTGCAAGCTAGTCAGTTATATACTTAGTTCTGTGTGTTTGAGCCTTTAAAAAGCTTGCAGAAACACAGATTCCAAAAGATATAGAAAACATATGTTTCCTTCCAACATGCAAGCTTTACTTGCATAGAAGAACCTTTTTTTCCAACCTATGAATGGGTTTGTTCAACCAAGAGCCCTTTTGCAAGGCCCAAGAGCCCTTTTTCAAGCCCCTCCACACAGAGAGGCTTGGCCATGTGTGGCTTCCACTTAAGGCTGGTGAACCTTGGGACCCAAAACTTGGGCCCCAAGGTTCACTAGCCATTTGTGGCTTACAAAGCAGGCTGGGTCCAAAACTACCACTTGCAGTGCATGGTTTTGCCTGAGCTGGCTATGGATAAGTTCAACTTGTCCAAGGCCAGCTCAGGCAAAGGTTGGGCATCTCTTGCTAGTAAAACATTCACTTCTTTGAAGTTGCACCCATGAGCCCTTTCTCAAGGCCCTCAAATTCAGCTAGCCTTTCTCATTGGCATATGCACCAGGGGCCCTTTCAGTTGCCCTAGTTGTCACTTGACACTTGGGCCTAAACAGCCTAGGGGCACTTGTTTGAACATGCTGACATGTTTCGGACAGCCTAGGGGCACAACATGATCACATGCTTCTGGCATAAGCACAGCCTTTTTTTGGCCAAAAACTGTCTAGCCAGCCAGCCCTTTTGCAAGGCATTTGGCAAATGTCTTAAAAGCCTTTTCTCAAGGCCTAGTGGACTATGTTTACTTGAGTGCATCATCCCTCATCTTCAAAGCTTCTTCCTTTGAGGAGGGCATGTCCTTGAAGATTTGCTCAGCCACAGATTTGTGTGCTGCACTTTGCTTTTTGGTGATGGCCACCCACAAATGTTTCTTGTCTTCCCCTGGCTCAACTGCACAAATGTAGCTCTGGAGGGTGCCCTTGGTCAAATACA